AATGTTGTGGGCTCCAGGCCCCTCCTGGGATTTTCCCCGTCAGCCCCTTACCCCTGCCATCCATGATGTATGGGGGAGGGGTCTTGAAATTTTATTTTGGATTAATCAAAGTCTTCTGCAGAGAGGAAAGAGGAACAGTTTCTGACAATCTCTACTGTAAAACTTCTTACTCTATAGTTCACCATGTTTAAATTAGAAATTTAAAGTTGCAAAACTTGATATTTTTATAGTCTCTTCACACCTAAGTTCCAATTTTCTCAGGAAAGCAATTTTGTAGTTTTTGCAATAAACTACAATTGATAGTAGCTATAATTTTTCCCTTTTAGACAACTGGTTCTTTGTTTCATTTGTTTTGTAGAGACTTGAAACCTGAAAATATTCTTCTTGATGACCATGGTAAGTAAAGAAAAACTTCATTGGCATGTACAATAAAAATGTATACATTAGAGCGGTCAATTAATTGCAGTTAACTCACATGATTAACTCAAAATATTAATTGTGATTAAAATAATCATGACTAATCACGGTTTTAATTGTTCTGCTAAACAATAGAATACCTATTGAAATTTATTAAATATTTTGGATGTTTTTCTACATTTTCAATTTACAGTACAGGATACAAAGTATATATTTACCACTTTATATTATTTTTATTACAAATATATGAACTATAAAATGATAAAAGAAATAGTATTTTTCTGTTACCTTATACAAGTAGTGTAATGTGATCTCTTTATTGTGAAAGTACAATTTACAAAAGTAGATCATTACATAACTGCCCCTACCCCCCCAAACAAAACAATTTAAAAATTTGGAGCCTACAAGTAAGTTCACTCAGTCCTATTTTCTGTTCAGGGATGTGCTAAGACAAACAAGTTTGTTTATGTTTGGAGGAGATAATACTGCCCATTTCTTTACAATGTCACCTGAAAATAAGAAACGGCATTCTCATAGCACTTCTATAGCAGGGGCTGAGGGGTATTTATGTGTTAGATGTTCTGAACATTTGCATATCCTTTATGCTTCAGCCACCATTCCAGAGGACATGCTTAGATGCTGATAATTCATGTGAAAAAATCCAATAATTAAATGTATAACTCAATTCCTAAGGGAGAATTGTATGTCAAATGCTTTCTGCCATATATTTCATGTTATAGTAGTCTGGGATGAAGATGCCCCAGCACATGCTGTTCATTTTAAGAATATTTTCATGGCAGATTTGAGAAAATGCAAAAAAGGTATCTGTGTGAGATTTCTAAACACAGCTATAGCACTTGACCCAAGGTTTCAAATTCTGAAGTGCTTTCCAAAATCTGAGGGATAAAATGTTGAACACGCTTTCATAAATCTTAAAAAGCAGTGCTTGGATGCAGAAACTAGAGAACCTGAATCACCAACAAAAACAAACAAATACATCCAAAACCCAACCTTCTGCTGTTTGCATCTGACTCATGACGAAAATGAAGATGCGTTGGTCCACAGTGCTTTGGATTGTTATCAAGCAGATCCCATTAGCAACATGGAAGCATGTCCTCTGGAATGGAGGTTGAAGCATAAAAGGACATATGAATCTTTAGTGTATCTGGCTTGTGAATATTTTCAGTACTGGTATGCAATATTGTACACTTTACATTCTATGTTGTAATTGAAATCAGTATATTTTAAAATGTAGAAATCCTCAAATATTTAATAAATGGTATTCTGTAATTGTTTAACAGTGTGATTAATTACAATAATTTTGTAATCGCTTGGCAGCTATACTATAAATATTCAGCGTGCAGTGTAAAGGAACAGCTTTTAGCCTCATTAGATCTAGTCCTAATTAATGTCCTCATTGGATAGGCTGGAAAACAATTTTACCTTCCAATGTCTTCTTGCTTATAGATTAAAAAACAAACAAACAGTATTTTGTTTTAGTGAATACATCAGTAAAAACTTATCAGTTACAGTTCTTGGCAATAAAAAAAACAAGCAGAAGCAATTTGAACATGTGTATATCTTTTTGCTTATTTATTTTAACATTTGAATTAAAACGTGTTGGATGGAAATAAATAATAAAAAAAAACAGACTGCATGAAGCAGAAGTAAATTTTTCCTGCAAACAAGAATTCATACAAGCTGCTATTCTCTGTTCCTTTTTTTTATGTTGAAATTAGAAGAATCTTGTGACTTTTTTCCCTTCAGGAAGTGGTAATTGCTGAGTTTGTGCTTGCAGCTGTTAATACTGTAGTTTTGAGGCCAAATGATTTCATTAAATTCCTAAATCACACCCTGAGGTATGCTAAGTAGGTTTTCAAAGTGGTACATGTGGAGGAGTTGCCTGCTAATAACTCATGCTTTGGTAGACAGCAAGTTGGTTATTAACTTTCTAGTAAAAGCTTTTATAAAAAGTGAGCACCTAATTGGACATATGTGACCTTCTGTCACTGATCTATAGAATAATTTCTCTGGTAGAGAGAAGACATCCTTAATTCCATAGTGTGTAGAGAACTAATTAGAAAGTAACTTTAAGAGATCAGATCCTGCATTTAATGGCTTTACCAGATGTTAGTGGATAGAAACCTAATATATATGAAATAATTCCTGAAATAGCCAAAAGCCTAGTTATTTCTTGACCTGTGTACTTGCAGTCAACCTTCCAGACTTTCAGAAGTTATATACCACTAATGAGTTAAAAAAATACTTCTCTACATTGAAAACAGAGAAATGCCTCATTAAAAGGAGCCTTTTAACATAATTGCCTCTGTTTGAAAAGTCTTGCCACTACTGTGGCAAGTAACACTTAAAAATATTATATCTGAAAGACATCATGTCTAGATCTTATATTTCTGTTTTTAGGCGTTAATAATGAATGACCAGAAAGATGGGAACTTTTGAAATAACCAATTATTTAAAATTTTATCTCTCATATACTTCAGTGAAACACTGTCAGGTTTATGTATGTATGTATACAAATGCATGTGCAGAGCTGGATTTCTTTTCTGTAACATGATCAAAGGATACAACTTTGAAATCCACTTCTATCCTACATAACTTTACATTTCCTTGCATTTGGAATCTCCTGCAATTATGGTTTTTAATTATATTATCGTAATATTATATATCAGAGCCCCTTTTACGTTATGTCCATACTACAGATGCGCTTTTTTTGTCATCCCTGTAAACCTCATTTTACGAGGAAGAATGGATGTTCTGAAAAGGGTGTGGTTTTTTTTGTTTTGTTTTGGACAAAAAGAGATATCTCTTCTCACCAAGCAACAAAGTGCATAATGGAAAATAACATCTCCAGTGATGCACTACACTTATTTATCTGATCAGGGAGCCTGGTCTTTGAGAGAAATAAGGGCACAACATATCTGAATTACAACTCCTTGAAGCATTGCAGAACAATTGACTGATAAAGTTTAGTGTTTAACTGACTTGAAAGTACTTATTTTATTTTACACTTCCAAACATTTTTTTTATTTGAAACTTGTTCTGTGAAAAATTTCGATACTTTTTGTTCTGATTTAGTATGAAACAAGTGTTGAAATATCAGAATTCCCTATGTGATGGAAATTCTGGTTTTCACTCTATTCTGCTCATTATAATATCTTCAAGAGGAAAACAGGTAATTCTGTATAACATTTCTTATGTAAAGAATGAGAGAGAGCAAAAGTCCAGTGTTCTGCTAAGAAGTCAAGAAGCTTAATACAGAATAATAAAAGACTTAATTATGGTATTCTATTGCTGTTCTTGTGGCTGCTGAATAAACAAAGGAGTTGAAAATGGTAACTCATAAATCCTATTCAGCCTACAGTCACACTTCCATGTGAAGTGTTCTGTTCTGCACTCAGCCACAGACTTCTTGTGTGAACTTGAGTATATCAGTTCTGCATCTAATTTTTTTCCATTCATAAAATGGGAAGGCTAAGACCACACAAGGGTGTTTTTGATTAAATTGATTAAAGATTATAAGGCTCTCTCTCTCAGGAGTGTGGAATTTACTTCCAGATAACTGTCTTTCAAGGGTGTGAACAATCCTTAACTAACTTAACCCTTGAGAGATGTAGGCATACTAACTAACTTAACCTTCCATATAGACTTCTTCAGTCAACCTAAATACCCCCTCTCAGAGACATAGATTACCTCTGCTCTTGAGAGAAGCTCTTCCGTTGATCTAGTATCTAAGGGTTAAGTGATTTTTCAGAGGTGGTGGGACTAGGAAATGGGGCTGAAGGATAATGGGTACTTATTTTGAAAAGGCTGATAATTTATTGCTGTTGAATTTGTGTAATTAATTTGAATGTAAACAGGACACATCAGGATTTCAGATCTTGGACTAGCTGTGCAAATCCCAGAAGGAGAAACAGTCAGAGGGCGGGTTGGAACAGTTGGATACATGGGTATGTAAAATGCCTATAACTTTCTAAATCATACTAGTGAGTTTAATTACACTTATATAAGTATATGTGACTCCAGAATACAAAGTCATTTTGATTTTGGTTTGGGGATGTTATAATATGAAGAAAAGATACAACATGTGAATAGGTGTGCACATTGTCTGCAGTGACTCATGACCGATATTGCCAGCCTCAGGACAAAGTCTCAAAAAGTAGAGCAGGTTTCCAGACTGGTTGTATATTACATAATTAGATATTGCCAATCCAGTAACAAGTGTAAACTCCTAACATACTAACCAGTTTTGCTGTTCATTAATAGAAAATCCCATTGGGCATTCCAGTCTATTTTGCCACTTGGACAAGTTGAACTATGATAAAAATGTAGCCGTGTTAGTCTGGTGTAGCTAAAACAAAATACAGGGCTATGTAGCACTTTAAAGACTAACAAGATGGTTTATTAGATGATGAGCTTTCGTGGGCCAGACCCACTTCCTCAGATCAAATAGTGGAAGAAAATAGTCACAACCATATATACCAAAGGATACAATTAAAAAAAATGAACACATATGAAAAGGACAAATCACATTTCAGAACAGAAGGAGGATGCAGGGGGGCAGGGAAAGGAAGGTGAATGCCTGTGAGTTAATGATATTAGAGGTGGGGAAGGGTAGATGTCTGAGAGTTAATAGTATTAGAGGTGATAATTAGGGAAGCTATCTTTGTAATGGGTAAGATAGCTGGAGTCTTTGCTCATGCCCCCGCGGAGAGTGTCAAATTTTAGCATGAATGCCAGTTCAAAGGATTCTCTTTCAAGTGCAGATTTGAATGTCCTCTGAAGTAGGATGCAGGTGAGTAGGTCATTGAGACAGTGTCCTTTCTGGTTGAAATGGCAAGCAACTGTTTTTTCTTTGTGATCCTGTCTAATGTCTGTTTTGTGGGCATTGATTCTTTGGCGAAGTGTCTGAGACATTTGTCCAATGTACATAGCAGACGGACACTTTCGGCACATGATAGCATAGATTATATTTCTGGAGGCGCAGGAATATGTATTCTTGATCTTATAACTCACTTGGTTAGGCCTAGTAATGGTGTCAGCAGAGTGAATATGTGGACAAAGCTGGCAACAGGGTTTGTTGCAAGGGAAAGTACCAAGGTTGGTATTAGTGTGGTATGTCCTGTGGTTGTTGGTAAGAATCATCTTGATGTTAGGTGGTTGTCTATAGAAGACTCCTGTTCCAGTATAGGCTGTAATTTATTGATAATGTGTTGGACAGGTTTAAGTTGGGAGCTGTAGGTGATGACAAGTGGTGTTCTATTGTTGGTTTTCTTGGGTCTGTCTTGTAGTAGATGGTTTCTAGGTATTTGTTTGGCTCTTTCAATTTTCTTTTTTATTTCTCCGGGTGGGTAGTTGAGGTTTATAAATGCTTGGTAGAGATCCTGAAGTTTCTGGTCTCTGTCAGTGGGATTAGAGCAGATGTGGTTGTATCGAAGGGCTTGGCTATAGATGATGGATCGTATGGTGTATGCTGGATGGGAGCTGGAAGCATGTAGGTAACTGTATGAGTCAGTGGGTTTTCTGTAGAGGGTGGTGTCTAATTTTCCATTGTTGATTTGTACTGTGGTGTCCAGGAAATGGATCTCTCGTGTGGAATGGTCCAGGCTGAGGTTAATGGTGGGGTGTAGGTTGTTGAAATCTCTGTGGAATGTCTCCAGTGTTTCTTGGCCATGCGTCCAGATCATAAAGATGTCATCGATGTAGCGTAAGTAGAGAAGGGGTAAAAGGGGACGGTAGTTGAGGAAATGTTGTTCTAGGCTGTTTGGTATATATGGCTGTGACTATTTTCTTCCACCATTTGATCTGAGGAAGCAAGTTGAACTATGTGATAGATGGTCACTTTATAGCAAAGGTCACAATATTTAGATTATTTCCAGTCCCAAAGGACTAGTGACTTACCTTAGGTCAGTAGTCATTGGCCTCAGGTCTAATTATAACGCATGTAGTTAATCCTGTAATTAACTAAATATTTATTAACTAAAAATAATTATTGTAACAAGGTTAAAAACATAATACACAAATTAGTCTTTGATTTGAAAAGATTTTATAAGCTCCTATAAGAAGTATAAGCAGCTCTATTTGTCCTTTGGGGTTGAACCATGCCAGGCAGCATGGGGTCTCTTGCTATGTTTAGAACTATTTGTCCCTCAAAGTCCATACAGCGTAAAAAAATCCAGATTCTCCCTGTCAGGGATTTTTATCTCCCCTTACTACAGAATCCAAACTGATGAGTGCTCTTGCAAATAACTTCTTCATGGGTGGATGGGAGGAATAAGACAAAGGTTTTATTCTACAGGGGCCCATTTGGATTCAGCCATCCTTCTAGATGGGGAAGAAATGACACCTCTTGAAGTAGACAAATATTTCACATGAATAATACTTCTCTGACTGTGGGGAACAGGCCAGCTGACAGATTTGGGGAGGTAGTATGCAAAGGTGGCAATTACCCGTTGGCCCAGAGATCCAAAGGGGCCCAGAGCTCCTGGCCATTGCAGCAGCTAAGCAGGATTAGGTTCAAGCTATGCATTTATAAGTGTTCAGTGAAGTATAGGGACTTCAGCATGAGCTGTAGCTGTTCTTCCAGCATCATGTTTGATAAAATTACAGAATTACATTGAAAATACAGCCATCTCAAAAAGTTAATTATTCTGGAGAAAAAATTCCAAAACATCTAAATATCATTGATATTCAGTTAGAATCTTGGCTTCTAAGTTCACAAGTCACTTTTAAAAATGTAGCTTTGACTCCTAAGTCACTTAGATGCTTAGCTTATCAAAATTTTACCTTGATTTAAAAATGGTTTAAGGATCATATTGATCTAGAAAAGAAGCAATTAAGGATCTGCTGTTAGCTGACCAAAATAGTTCTTAATATGGGAATGAGGACTTCCTGTAACTCTGGACTTCCATTATTACTGTAGCGTCTGTTTCTAGGCAGAGTGCAATGATAACTTAGTGGATTTGTTTTACTGGTCAAATAATGGAAAAAACCCTAAAACTGTATATTTTTATAATTTATTTTTGGTAGCTCCAGAAATCCTCAACAATGAAAGCTATACATTCAGCCCTGACTGGTGGGGTCTTGGCTGCCTAATTTATGAAATGATTCAAGGACAATCACCATTCAGGAAGCGTAAGGAAAAAGTCAAACTTGATGAGATAGACCGAAGAGTGAAGGAAGACCAAGAAGTGTATTCAGACAAATTCTCAGAGGAGGCAAAATCCATCTGCAGGATGGTGGGTGAAGAGACGTAGAGGTTTGGAAATTAAGTTTCTAATACTCTTTAAAGAGCTGAAATTTTACAATTTTAGTGTCTTGGTTTTGTTGGAAACTTTTCATAATTCAGGTGACATGGCTTAGGTGACCTGCATAAGTCACTTTCGTCTCTCTTTATGATTCATCTATTTATTGGCTAGAAGTCCATAAACAGTCCCATACTGTTGTTGTTGTTGTTCTGAGAAACTGAGGACTTTTCTTCATGATTGAAGGAAGATCATGTTTGTTGAATTATAACTTACAAAATAGTGTACTTTATAAGTGTAAAAGCTTCAGAGGTGTAGCAGAATTAGTCTGTAACTAGAGAAACTTAAAAAATAATGACTAGACTAGTAACACCTTACAGACTAACAAAACATGTAGATGGCACCATGAGCTTTTGTGGGCATAACCCACTTCTTCAGATGACTGGAGTATTAAAAGCCCAGATCCAAGGAGGAGGAAAAAATGGAGAAAAAAGACAGTGATAGATTGTTACAAGAGGCTGATAAGAACAATTAGCACCTCCATTATTTGGTTGGTTAAGTCATTAGGATCTGGAAGGTAGTGTGGGAGCCATCTGATGTCTGTTCATTCCATTCTGATAATTAACTTCATTTACAAGTTTAAGTTCCCTTCTTTATATTTGGCTTGTGGAACTGGCCTGAAACAACAAGGTTGGAGATCCAGGAATGCGTGCCCATCTAGGTTAAAGTGTTCTTCAACTGGTTTCTGCATCTTGCTTCTTTGAATATCTGATTTGTGTCTATTAATTCTTCATAGGTATATCTCCATATATATATCTATATCTCTCTCATAGAGCTGGACGGGACCTTGAGAGGTTATGGAGTCCAGTCCCCTCCCTTTATGGCAGGACCAAGTACCATCCCTGACAGAGTTGCCCCAGATCCCTCAATGGCCCCTTCAAGGACTGAACTCACAACCCTGGGTTTAGCAGGCCATTGCTCAAACCACTGAGCTATCCCTCCCCCATAAAAACTGTTCAGTTTGGCCAATATACATGGCTGTGGAGGCATTGCTGGCATTTGATGGCCTAGATCACATTAGTGGATGTGCAGTTAAATGAGCCCCTGATGTAGTGGCTCCTGATGTTGGATCCAGTAATGAAATAGCTTGTATAGATGTGTGCACAGAGTTGGCATCAGAGCTGATTGCAGGGGTGAGTTCCTGGATGATTATGATGGAGGTATGTATTGCATGGTTACTGGAAAGAATTTGTTTGAGGTTAGGGGGTTGTCTATAGGCGAGGATTGGCCTGTCCCCTAAGGCCTGCGAGAGTGAGGGGTCATTTTCCAAAATATGTTGTAGATTGTTGATAATGCGTTGGAGGGGTTTAAGTTGTGGGCTGTAGGTGATGACAAGTGGAATTTTGTTGTTTTCTCTCGTGGCCTGTCTTGAAGTAACTCATGTCTGGGTACTCTTTTGGCTTTAAGTTGTTTTTTTCACTTCTCTGGGTGGGCATTTCAGTTTTAAGAATTCTCTATATCAAGGGTGGGCAATAATTTTTGATGGGGGGGCCACTCCAAGATTTTGGAAAGTGGTCGAGGGCTGCACTCTTCCATGATATTAATGGAGGAGATGTGGGGCCTGAGATAGAGGTTGGGTGCAGAAGAGAGCTTGGGGTAAAGGATTGGGGTGCAGGAGGGAGAACGGATTCTGGGAGGTAGTTTTGGTGAAGGAGGCGGTTGTGACCTAGGGCAGGGGACTAGAGGGCAGGGGTTTGGAATGTAACCTAGGGTAGGAGGGTATTGTGATCTGGGGCAGGAGATTGGGGTGCTAGATCTTGGAGGTGGGATGGGTGTAAGAGGGGGACAGAAGGTTTGGGTATGTTGAGTGGAGGGGCAGAGAGTTGGGGCAGGAAAGGGTTGGGGTGCCAGAAGCAGGATGTGGCCAAGAGACTTACTTGCCAGCTGCCAAACTAGCCTACCTGCTTGCACAGCTTAAAACGTCTCCCAGCCAGCCTACCTGCTTGCCGGGCCATGTGCTTCATGAATAACTGAGCTGTAGAGAGAGGGCGTGATTCTTGGCTTCCTGTTACTCCAACAAGCAGTTCGCATTGGCTGAGGTCTGCCAGAAACTAGACAATGGGAATGTGTTGGGAGCAGGGCAGCTCCTAAAACTTCCCCCTCCTTTCCAGTTTTAAACAAAAACAGAGCCCTGCAGCTGTGTTTCTGCATGGCACACAGGTCTGCAGGGCAAGCTGGGGAGCCAGCCTGGTGCTCCCCACTGCCTCCATGGGTCGGACTGGTGGATTGGTGGGCTAGATCCAGCCCGTGGGCCGTATTTTGCCCAGGCCTGCTCTATAGAAATCCTGTAGGTGTTTGTCTCTATCTGTGGGATTGGAGCAAATCTGGTTGTATCTTAGGGTGTGGCTGTCTACAGTAGATTGAGAAATGTGTCTGGGATGGAAGCTAGAGGCATGAAGGTAAGTGTAGTGGTTGGTAGGTTTCCAGTATAGGGTAGTGGAAATTTGTCCATAATTTAATTGTACTGTAGTGTCAAGGAAGTGGATCTCTCCTGTGGATCGATCCAAGCTGAGGTTGATGGTAGGGTGGAAGTTATTCAAATCCCTCTGAAATTCTTCAAGGGCCTCTTTTACGTGGGTCTATATGATAGAGATGTTATCTATGTAATTTAAGTGGAGTAAGGATGCTAGGAGGTGAGAGCTGAGGAACTATTGTTCAAGGTCATTGATAAAGACATTGGCATATTGTGGGGCTATGCAGGTGCCCATGGCTGTGCACTGACTTGAAGATACAAATTGTCTCTGAATCGGTAGTAGTTGTAAGTGAGGACAAAGTCACAGAGCTCCAAGTGTGCAGTGGTGTCATCGGGGATGATGTTCCCAATAGCCTGTAATCTGTCTTCACGTGGAATGTTGGTGTAAAGCGCTTCTACATTCCTGGTGGCCAGGATTGTGTTTTCAGGAAGTTTACTGATATGTTGTAGTTTCCAAAGGAAGTTGGTGGTGTCTCGAAGATAACTAGCAGTGGTGGTAGCATAGGGTCTGAGGAGAGAATCAGGATAGCCAGATTATCCTGTTGTAAGTATGCCAATGCTTGAGATGATGGGTTCTCCAGGATTTCCAGGTTTGTGTATTGGGTAGCAGAAAATTCCAGGTCAGGAATTAAGGCGGATGTTACTGTAAATTTGGTCCTGAGCAGCATCCGGGAGCTTCATGAGCAGTTGTTTAAAAACCTGTCCTAGAAAATGACCCTTCACTCTCTCAGGCCTTTGGGGACAGGCCAATCCTGTCCTACAGACAACCCACTAACCTCAGACAAATTCTTTCCAGTAACTGCGCAACACACACCTCCATCATACTCATCCAGGAACCCACCCCTGAAATCAGCTCCAGTGCCAACTCGGCGCACACATCTATGCAAGTGATTTCATCACTGGACCCATCAGCCATTACATCAGGGGCTCATTTAACTGCACATCCACTAGTGTGATCTATGCTATTAAATGCCAGAAATGTCCCACAGCCATGTATATTGGCCAAACTGGACAGTTTCTACGGGAAAGAATTAATGGACACAAATCTGATATTTGAAAAGGCAACACACAGAAACCTGTTGGAGAACACATTAACCTGCCCAGGCACTCATTAATCTCCTAGTCACCATGTTGGGTCAGGCCAATTCCACAAGCCAAATACACAGATAAAGGTTGGAACTTAACTTCATTTACAAGTTTAATTCTTATCAGAATGGAAATAACAGAGACATGGGCTGGCTCGCACACTACTTTACACATCCTAATGACTTAATCAAACAAACAATGGAGGTGCTAATTGTTTTTATCAGCCTCTTGTAACTTAAACAATCTATTGGTCTTTTTTTACCTTTTTTCCTCCTTCTCCCCCTTCCCTTATTTATTCTTGGATCTAGACTTTTAATATTTCAGTCATCTGAAGAAGTGGGTTTTGCCCACGAAAGCTTATGATACCAGCTACATGTTTTGTTAGTCTGTAAGGTGCTACTAGACTATTTGTTGTGTTTTTTACAGTTTTTTTTTGTAAGTGTAGTGGTCCATATCCTCAAGCTAAGGTGCAATATGAATATAGTGTAATCAAGGGAAGAATTAAGCTTTCTTAGTACATGCAACTTGGTATTTAATATGGGGAAGATGTGGTAGAAAAGTAGCATGTTAATTTTCTTGTGTAAAGAAAAAGATTACAGAATAGGACAGATTGATTTTTTTATTTTTAATTTTTTAACCTGTGTTTACTGAAGTAAAATGCAGTAAAACTTGGTAGATAACATACACTTAGGGGAGTTTTTTAGAAACATAATATTTATGTTTGTTATGGTATGATTTACAAAAATATCTTTTTTTAGAGTTATGAAGATACTGAAACAATTTTATCTCTCATTTGAGGAAAGGTGACAAGGTAGGATTGGAAGGTACCCGAGGAAGTCATCAAGTCCAGTTCCCTGTACTCTTGGCATGAGCAAGCAACATTTGGGATCAATATCTGTCAGGGATGATCTAAATAGTGCTTGGTCCCGCCATGAGTGCTGGGGACTGAACTTAATGTCCCTTCCAGTTCTGGTATTCTGACTCTATGTTTATATATTTGCAGATCACATATAATTATATAGTTTAACGAGCTGCTAAATTAGTTATGGATAGAACCTATAAAAAAGCAGAATGTAATTTAAATTACAGGTTTGGACCTCTCTTGTTCAGTACTTTCAGGACATGACTGACCCTGAACCAGGGAGTTTGATGGATCAGGGAAGGTCCTGGCCCTCAGCCCCGGCTGCTGGACTTGGCTCCCAGCCACCGCCTCCTGGCCCCTCACCCCTAGTGTCCGCTGTTGGCTTCCCTCCCCGTCTCATCCACCTGGCCCTAGCCGATAAGCTTCCTACCCCAGCAACTGACCATCATCCTGGGACTCTGCTTCCAGCTGGGCTCTGTTGGTCTGACAACATCCCTGAGGCCTTGTCCTGCT